ATATAAAAATGTAATCTCAATCCTTGTTATTCCGAAAAGAAATATCGAGATGAATATATAAGCTAAATGTGTGATTCGACGCACAATTAACGATAATTAAAATTTTTCTTTTTCATCTGTCGCGGGATTAAGAATTTTAATCGCGAGTGTACATTAATTTTAATGAAAAATCTCTCGAGGTTCGGGCGGAGTTAATAGAAATTTCGTGCGGAGTTTGATATTTTCGTCGAGGCGGTCGGATGCGAGTTTAATTAAAAATCCTCGACCTCCCCGGGGATTGATCGGGCGGATCGCGAAATTTTCCGGCGCAGGAGGAACCTTTTCCGAAAGAGAGAGATCTTCGTCGATCTTCGGCGGAACGAGAAGGGGGGGGGGAGACAATGATTTTTCATTCTCGTTTTCTGAACGCCGCGGCCGCGCCGTTTCGCGCGAGAAGGCGGACACGCGCGGGGCGGCCGCACCGCGTGAATCCGCGCGTCGTGACGTGTGAAAAAAATCTAACATGCCGAGGCACCCCATTACGCGCGGGGAACAAATCCGCCCCGCGGGCGACGTCGCCCTACATTCTCGTCCGCGGTAATACATGCCCCCCGCGCGGCGGGGAGTTACCGAAATCACCAACACGGAAATCTCGTCAAAAAAACACACGGGACGAAACGGGCCCGAGAATCTCGGCGATATATACCGCTCGTATCGGAGATCGAAATGAACATCGACGGCCGCAAAGTGGATTATTAAATCCGATTTAAAAATTTGTCCCGATTCGCGAGGCGCGTTGCCAAACATTGCCTCCCCCCTCCCCGCCCCTTCCCTTCCGCTCCGCTGTGGCATTATTACCTCGGAGCGGATTATCGAGATGCGCGCGGTAAAAAATTTATTATCAATCACACGCGCGGTTCGACAGACGCGCGGGGTGAGGAAACGAGGGGGGAGGGGAGGACGAAAATCGCGCGGCTATGAGAATCGATCGCTAAATCCCATTAAAAAAAAAAACCGCCGGTGCGAATCGGTCCAACGCAGCGCGGACATTATTAGCCTAAAGCAGATTATCGCAGTGCGACGAGTGCAGATCAGCTCCGGGGAACAGATCAAACGCGCGGTCGGGAATGTGAATCGATGTTTTTACAAACAAAATGGGAATGTTTAACGAGTCTGCGCGTTCTCTCACGTCCGCCGTCCTGTTTTTCATATCGCATCACTTACGTTTAAGTGTTGCGAGAGCGACTCTCTAAATTCGAAGATAATCGCGAGGATAAATTACGTCGCCTCCCGACCTGGTCGTGACTATATATATATATATATATATAATTTTTCTTCCGCACCGTCCTTGCGTTCTAGCGGATAAAAAAAAAGATTAATACTTACGCACTAGATGGAATTAACAACGGATTATCCGTCTATTTTCCCTTGGGGACTTCCTATCTTCCACTGCCCTGCCTCCTCCTCCTCCTCCTCACATCCCCGCCATACGTTATTTCCCATTATCGTCCAAATGCGGCGGCGGTAATTGGTTTTCTATCATTGCGCGCGGCGTTAATGGCAATTTTAAATTAACGCCGGTGGATATCCGTCGTAATTAACGGTTCAACTGTTTCACAATGTGCGGGGCGCGAGCCGTCGTCGTTGCGGGACGTATATTACCGAACGAGGAGCAACCAGGGATGGGGGTGGAATTCCCCCTAAATATATCGCACGTGCACCGTACGCGAGAACCACTCGCTCGCGTGTCATTAATATCTTTTTTTTTCGGATGTACATCAAATTTCCGCGTTACCGCTCGACGCGCATACGGCATCGTACATCGTTGAACGATGATGCCGCGATGAACGATTTTTCTCCTCCCGCGGAACACGCGGGAGGCGGGGATAAACGACGGCGGGATTCGTCGTCCGCCTCCTCGTCCGCCTCCCGCTTCCGCTTCCGCTTCCGGTAACGGCGGCGGGCGTTGCGCGCCGGCTCTCCCCTTCCCTCCCGCGCGTGATTGTTAATATACCGTTTTATTAATTCACGAGAATTGTCACCGTTCCCCCCTGCCTCCTCCTCCTCCCTCCTGCACGCTCCCTCGGCGCGCGTTCTGAGGAGCGCTTTTACAAGCCTTTATAAGCGCCTTCATGATTCTCCTCCCCCCCCTCCACCTCCTGCCCCGTGCAACACGGGATGAATCTTTAAGAATGAAATTTACCCCACGCTCTCTCTCTCTTTCTCTCGCGCACGGAGGCATCGGCACGCGGAAATTGCGGTACCTCTCCTCAGCGGCGCGGCGTCTCGCGAAATTGCCGGTAATAATAAAGTAATCGCGACATATAACGTGCATAACAAATCGCAATATATGGGGTCCGCGTAAACGGGAGGATGATTATAACAAAGGCACAATGCGTATATACATAATGTAAAAAATATATCAGTTCCCATTTGCAACGTACAAACGGATGCAAGTATTTTACGACATTAATATAAATGTCGATGGCATAAACAGGATAAAGTAAACAATAATAAGAAGCGGGGAGGAAAAATTATATCGCGCCGCGTTATCGCGCGACTCGTAAATAATAATACGGCTCGGCGTCTAATTGCCCGAAAATTTTGCGCTATCACGTCCACGTCTCTCTCTCTCTCTCTCTCTCTCTGGCGTGGCGAACTTTAAACGCGCGAGGCGCGCCGCGTGAATTAAACGCATTATTATGAACACAAATTCATATACACACACACACACACACACACAGCGTGTACCTGCTGCCCCCGAACCGGGGGCGGTTCGTTATTTTTCCACCGGCAATTGTGTGTTCATTTCGCCGCCGGCAATCAAGTGCTCTCATTAATAAAGCATTTGGGGCATAAATTAATTATCGCTTTCCGTCCCTCCTCCCCCTCCTCCTCCTGCCTCCGATCCGTCGTTTCCGGCGTCGGGAGAGTTTTCCCATCTCTGTTTTCTCTCCGCGGACACACGTCGTGTATCTCCTCCTGGCTGTACGTTGATCGCAACCCGCTCGGTCGTTCCGAAAATCGACCGATCCGTTCTCGCGGAGTCGACAGCCCTCCCCCCCTCCCCTTCCCTTGAAAGAGAGAAGCAAGCTGAATTACCCTCGTCGGATTACCTTTTCTACAGTGACGATCGAATATCGCGAGTAAACCTCGCAGCGGCGCTCAATTCCCGCGAAGCTGCCTCTCCCTTTCTCGATCTCTCTCTTTCTCTTTATCCATCTTTCTTCCTCAATGGCCGCTAATTTACGTCGAGGTTCTCGTAGCCGGCCACGGAAAATCCGCGGTAAATCGAAAAGCGGGATAAAAGGGTGCGCCCGGGCGAGAAATTAATCGCGCGGCCCGGAAGGTCCCCCTCCGGACGTGTCAGGTGATGAATTAAAAGGATCCTCTCGTCGCCGAGATGGACGAGATATCGTTTGTGCGGTGGGAGAGGGGGGGGGCAACAACTAATTAAGGATTACGGCACCTAAATCAATCGCCACCGAGCCGCGCGGGATATAATACAAATGAAGAATTACGACAGACGGATGAAGAAAGAGATAACACAGTCCGTCCGGCCAATATTTCGCCGTGCCCCGTCGTCGTCGGTTTGACTTCGTATTGAAATTGCTAAACCGTGATTTATCAATTTTGAATTTCATTTATCTATCTGCGGAGAAATGTAATATTCTTAATGCGGATTTTCTATTTTAGATTAAAACGTGACTTCATAAGTGTTAATTTATGATTCGTACTTGGCTGCGTCAGCCGATAAAAGTTTCATATATATCTATCTATATATATATATATGCCAATAAAATAAATGGAACTTCTTTCTGGAAAGGAACTCTTTTGCTGAATCCAGATCTGAAAATAATGTTTGTTCAACAATCAAAATAATTTTGTGCAAAAGTGAAAATGATTGCTAGAGTATTCAAACGTTTTGTAACAATGCTTATCAGTTTTAACATTCCAACAAATTATTTTAATAATTTAATAAAAAATTATTTTCAGATCTGTTTTTAGCAAAATTTTTAGACCTTTGAACAAAATCGTTTTTTCCGTGTAAGCACACTTTCGCGAAAGGTACGTAAATATACGCTCATAGAAAAGACTTCTCTATGACTCTATCTAAAATAAGATCTAGGAACAATCATATTTATTGTTAAGGAGGGATATATCTTACTATTAAGTGGAAAATTGTTAAGTCGAGAATAAAATGAGAAAGACAAAATAAAAGGAGCACGCTGTGGCGGCGAACATAGCGTGCTAAAGATTTTAGTCTAAATGCGTAATAACTTAAATTTACCAGTAAACACAAACTAACAGTGACATACCGTCAATGTTAAAATGTCGGACTCAATAATGTAACGTATAAAATTACATAATTTATGGTGTTATATTAAATTTATAACACGGAAAGAATGATTTTGGAAAGTCTAAAAATTTTGCTACATATATACAGATCTGAAAATCATTTTGTTGGAAATTTAAAAATAATGAGCATTACTGTAAAACGTTCAGATACTATTCCAGCGAGCAGAACGAATTTTCAACAAAATTATTTTGATGGTCCGACAAAATTATTTTCAGATCTGTGCCCAGCACAATTTTTAGACTTTTCCGCAAAATCGTTCTTTCCGTGTATTTATTGAGGCTGACATTTTAACATCAATGTTATGTTACTGTTACTTGGCATTTGCTGGGTCATATGTGTTACTCTTATATCTCAGGACAATAAATCAATCTCATAATTTCAGGGAGGAGAATTAAGAATTATTAATCTAGTATTATACATCGTTACATTTTAGCACTGTTTTGTTTTGTTTTATTTTTATACTGCATAAGGTTGCGATAAGATTAAGCACGTCAGGAATGTTTCTTTGTCCCGCGTTACCAGAAATTCTTTCCGGGAGTGTAAGCATAACCGTTAAGATTACTTTCCGGAGTAAACGTGTACCGGAGTTGAAATTTCCGATTTCTTTGCTTTCAGGGGACATCGTCCACTGCACGGGAGCGAGAGACGCAAATCAGCTGGTATGTCAAATAATCAGCTGGTTGACTCCTGTCTGTAAGTGTCTTTCTCTATGTTAAAGATAAAGTCGGTCGGTAGAGAATTTCCCGCGCGGTCGGAATTCTCACACGCTTCTCTTCCGATTATTATTATCAGTGGTACGAGATTAAACATCGCTGTGTATTCACGTCGTGTAGCATCCATTCGACCTCCGATCCATTCATTATTCAATTATCATCGATCGCGTCGATCTTCCATTCATTTGATCATTACACTTTTACACGTCGGGCGTGTCTCGTTTCCTCCCCCCCCCCCTTCTCCTCCTCCTCCTCCTCTCTCTTCGTAGTCTCGTCCTCATCCTCTCGCGCAAGGTAAAACTCCGCGGAGCGATACGATAAGCACATTTTCTCTCGGGCTCGCGCGCAAGTAAACTCCGGTCTCGCTTCCCTGCTGACGACTTTGACGTCAACTTTCCTTTGCGATAATTCAGGTATAATTACAAAGTTACCTAACGTGAAGGATTAAAAAGGTTTCGGCGCGCCAGTTTATAAGCCTCGGGAAATGCAAATAAATGACGAGGTCTCTTCCCGTTCTCTCTCCGCGAACGCTCCGTGAGTTGTGTCTCGATTTCGAAACTCGCGCGCGCGGCTCCCTCCGCATTTTAAGCACGTTCGCGAAAAGTACGTTAAAAAGTCCCCGAGGCCGCACGATGGTGCGTCTCCGGCGAAAAAGACAGTTACAACGATACTAATGATACCCCTTCTCCTCACCCCCCCCCCTTTCCCCTTCCCCTGCCCCGAGTATGAACAATGAGAGCGAACGATTTTGTTAATTCTTGCGAATGATCAACGTTCATTAGGCTGGTGAATCGCCGGATTGAGCAGAGACAGGAGCACAACATAACTCGCACTGAGATCACGCAGAGGTGACTAACATGCCATTAATCATGCGGCTTACTCACGCCGAAACGCGAGAGCGTACGATCGGAGTTTTATCACCGGATTAATTATACACTGGGAGAGAGGAAAAAAATGGTTGCAATTACACGCACGCAATTTAACTGTAATGTATAGTCACTTTCGGTGTCAACTGCATACCTCTACTTGTTTGGTAGAACTATAAATATAATTATTATTACTGCGCGAAAGGAACGATTTTGCTGAAACATTTAAAATTTTGCGGGATACTGCAGATCTGAAAATAAATTTTGTTGGATCATCAAAATAATTATGTTAGAAGATCAAAAAATTTCGATATTCTAGCAACCATTTTGCGTTTTTCCAACATAATTTTCTCCTTTTTTTTTGGTCCAATCTGTGTATATTCAGCAAAAATTCAAATCTTTTAGCAAAATCGTTTTTCCTGTGTAACATCACAGCAGTGACAATCATAAAAATGGAGCTCCTAATCATAATTTATCCAGCAAAAATTCAGATCTTTCTGCAGAATCGTCCTTCTCGTGTAACATCACATCAGTGAAAATTATAAAAATGGAGCTCCTAATCATAATTGTGCTTTACCATACTATATATAGTCACAAATACACAGAAAGAACAATTTTGCTGGAAGGTCTAAAAATTTTGCTGGATACAGATTTGAAAATATTATATATAATATATAATAATTCTTGTTGAACCATCAAAATAATTTTGTTGAAAAGTTAAAAATGATAAGCATTTTTACGTTTCCAACAAAATTATTTTGATCGTCTAACAAAAATTATTTTCAGAACTGTATCCAGCAAAATCGTTTCTTTCGATGTATCAAATTCTTTCTCTCAGTGTACGACGAAACAAATCCCCTCTTCCTCCCGCCGCTAAACGAATTCGATCCGCTATCGCCGTAAACGGCGATTAACGCGCGCGTACGTAATCTTATTAAGCCGCAATTGGAATAATAAAGTCCTACAAAGGATGTCAATTTGCTTGCGGATCGCGCCGTTATCGCCCACGGACGATCTCCCCGACCGGCGCGGCGACCGTGAGGATTTCATCGCGCGGCGTAAACCGTTACGAATGTCGCGCTCTAAATTGCGGCGCGGCCTAATTAGAGCGCTAATTGATCCGACATTGTCGCGCGGTAATTTCTAATAACCCCCCACTAAGACGTACGTTAACGCTTTCGACATGGGTATAGCACACTAACACGCCGCCAACCTTCGACGAGAGCATGTTTGCGCAATCATTTAGCATGACCGCAGCGTGCCGGCGCGGCCGTGGGGGAGAAGAAGATGCAATTAGTAGCATTCTCCTCGGGATCACACGTCGCGCCTTAAGCTGAGGTGTCTGCATCCCCGTTCGTGTGTTGTTTTCGCATATTCACATATATATACTTGGTTTGCTTCTCATTACGCACGAAATGTCGCTCGCGAAACGTCGTCGTCGCCGCGCACGAACGACTCTCGTGTAACTTACGAGATATATATAATTTACGTACTCTTCGATCGATTTTTTTCCCCCGCTCTGTATACGTATATAACTTGTGAAAGATTAAGACATTATTCTTGATTTAATATATCAATTAGTGTCTATTTGAAAGAAACTTGAAATGGATCGGTTTAAGGTAAGACACTTCGCCGAGGAGAGAATTCCGAATCGATCGAAGAATACGGCTGTGAAGTTCGACAACCTGTTTTCGTATAATTATCTCGTGTATGTTTGCGTGTGCGCTACATTTCCGATCAGTAGATTATTATTTCAGACATGAATGAAATATCCAGCCGTGAAATTATCACTTTGACTGTCATGTCGTGTCTGGGTGGCGCGTGAGTTTCTTTGCAAGGTCACCTCCGTCATCTATTTGATTTTATTTACTCGATTTTTTAAAGAACAATCTCAAATATATAAAAAAAGCAATGCAATATTAAAATAATATATTGAATTTATTAAGAATTTATTAAGAATACTTTTTTTTCTACTTATATCACATAAAAGATCTATTTATATTTCGGTGAATAACAGTTTTATTTATTCCCATTCTGAAATCAATTATTATTAAATATACATGAATAATATATATGTAATATATTATATAGCTTTTGTATTTATTTTTTATCTACTTATATTTTATTTATATTTTATTTTTTTATTATGATTTATTTTGTAATCTAACTCATATTTTACAAACAGTCGCGCATTTTTAGATTTTAAACCTGCCTGAGCTCTGCCTTGACAGTCAAAGTGCAATAGTGCTATCCTTGCTTCAGAAAATAATACGCAGTAATTTAGCTTCGTAGTGTATTGTAAAATGTCAGTTATATTATAAAGTATTTCCCTCATTTCCCTTTCACTTTCTTTTAGCTCTCTTCTCTTAAAAACAGTACATTAGTAGTACTTTATAAAGCATTTTCTCGCACATTAGAACATGTACGTAGCGAGTTTCTCAAGGAGAAATGTACGTTTTTCAGACGCGTCCTACAGGAGAAAGCCCCCGACATGCCGCAATACACGTAAGCACGCTATACAGTAATTTACGATATCACGCAACGTATGTACGCACTTCCGTCGATCTCTCATTTCTCTGATTCACCTGCCGTAGCGGACAGGGCGACACGGATTACCATGGGAGTAACGGACAGGCGGACACCCACTCGTTGCACTCGTCTCATCTGTCCGTCCAGGAGGATCCGCTGCTTATCCGGACCCACAAACAACAGACTTCTCAGCAAGTGAGACCCGATACTCTCGCCACTGATGTACTTCCCGCGCCCGAAATTTCACGCGCGACTCGTACTTCCGAAAGTTCACTCACCCCTCGTTGTCGCCAAGTTACAACCGCGACCTCGCCAGTCAGTAGAGCGGCTGAAGGCCATTTGAAAATTTTTCGTTGTGCTTATTATATTTATCATATTTTTTAATAATTTTTATACATTTTTTTATAATTTACATTTTATTCATTTAGATAATTATATTAGATATTTACATTTTTTTTTAATTTCAGAGCAGCTTTTCTGTTCGATCACATCTCTAATTTCCCATTCTTAAACATGAGGTTGAAATTAAAAAAAAAAGACAGAGTGAATTTGCTGGGTTAATTTTATCCGAAATCACCGGAACTTTCGTCGCGCTCCATTTCGAAAAATTTAATCCCGCCGTCGATGTCCGATATAATCGCATTACGTACAACGCGCGTACGCGGGGCATTAACGTAACGTGTTCGCGCGGCGAAAATCCCGTTTCGTCGAGCGAACGACGAGAGACGATGGTTGGTGACGGCGCCGCTTCTTTTTCCCCCTTTCCAGGTGACGACTGTGACGAAAGTCGTGCGCGAGGTTTCCCACATGGAGCCGGATCCGGGCGCGGTCAGTTACATGTCGGTGCCGCTGATGTCGCAAGACTATCAGCACGCGGACCCCCGCTACCCCGCGGACCCGTACATGGTCAGCTTCGACCATTACGACCCGTACCTGGGCTACCCGCCGCAGCCGGGGTACCCGGGACCCCATGGTATCTACATGCCGCGCTCGCATTCTCCCCACAGCCCCCACAGCCCATCGGAGCACAGTCGTGCTTCTCCGCCACACGGTACGTATATAATTCTCACTATCAGTTGCGGCCTCTCGTTTTACGGTTTTTATCATTTTCGGCTGCCGGCAAGTGCCACTGTTAATGACAGGTTTAACGATAAGCGGAATAAACGAATGTATTATTTACTGTAATGTATAACACCACTTGCAATTTTTACACTTCTGCTTAGAGATCATTATATATATTTATATATAAACTTTTTATATTTTAAATACTTATATTTTAAAAGAGTGTATTTAATATTTATTTATTATAATGTATAAAAATTTAGATATATGTAAAAGGTGATTAAAAAGTTTAAAGAAACTAACATACTTGTTATAGTAATATTATATAATAATCTATTAAATTCAATTTTGAAGATATTGTTCAATAAGGTTATATAGAACGTATGTATATAAAAATTTTGCAGTTCATACAAGTATGCGCATAAAAATGACTTAAAAGTTTGAAATTAACAAAGTGGTATTACAAGAGATACGTAAATGATAGCGTCTAAGCAAAACTTTTCCCCCCGCGCCGGGGGAGATTATTAAACGTAACGTGTCACGAAGACGTTACCTCGTTTCTATAAGACGTCTCCCGCGGGAGACTGCGGCGCACGAAGTGAATCTTCGATAACAACATAAACACGGTGATCTGTTTTCCGCAGAGTACATGCGCAAGGGCGCGCCCTACGTGGAGGGTAGCTATAACGACATCGACCCCGGCTTAAACCCCGCTTTGCAGGACCATTATCGCATCACTCCGAGTCCAGGTGGTCCCGGGGATCAGTACGGTAGGTGGTGGTGACTCCAACAAGTGCCGAGATTTCCGACAGACGTCCGGATTGCGTCGCGAATGCGGTCCGGGGGGGGGGAGGTGAGCGGCCGCCGGCGACGAATTCGATCTTCGACGTCACGCCGTTCGCTCACCCGGATGGCTACGTTTCACGCGATCGGATCCACGTCACGTGCGAGAACGCGGTCCTCGTACGAGGACCGGGGAGGGGGGTAGGGGGTACCTGCCACATAATTCACTTCGATTATCTCTCTCCCGGCGTTAACCTCGTTCGAGATCGAATCGGCGACTCGCACAGACACACGGAATGCGCGCGCGGAATACGGATGGCGCTCCGGCCGAGCCCCTCTCAACATCTTCCTCGCGGAGCGCGGAGGTCACATCCACCATTTATCTAGCTCGCGTCCCTCCGGCCTCCCCTCCTACCCTCCATCCGTTAAACGGCTCCTTTAATATCGAAAGGCGGATTAATGCTTTCCTCCCCCTCCTCCTCCTTCTCCTCCTCCCCCGCCCCCGTGCTCTCGTTATGTGACTTTATGTGACTTATTAAGGCTATTTATATTCCATATAAACGCGTGATTGAAAAATGACGTTATCTCCTTTTCACGACCGTTACGTCGGACGAAACGTATGGCATCGTAGAAGAGACGGTATTTAATCCACCGCGTAATACGACATAAAATTATATTTTAATTCTGACCCCGTGCGGCATCATTTTTCCCCTTGAGTTTTTAATTCGGGAATCATATTTCCGCTCTTTCAGCGCCCGTGTTTCGTTGCCGAAGTCAAATGAAATATTAATCGAAATAGAATGAGGTAAAAAACGAAATTCCTCTGCAATTAAAATTAATAACTGTCACAAGTGATTAAAGCTTCGAAAGATTCGTATATAAATGATTAACGACATTCATGTTCCGTCGCATTTACGATGACTTTCCGAAGTAGTACACGTGTATCTCCTGGAAGGAATTAATATCTTCGGTGCCCGAAGATAAGCAAGTTATCGCCGAAGATAACGTAAGTGAATTATGCGCTACCGAGAATGTGTGCGTGCGATACTCTCCGGTTCAGTCGGACGGCAAGAACTTCGATAAGAACGACGTCAAAGATCGTAACGATTAATAATCGATGGCCCGCCCGGGTCCCGTTTCAGATGAGAGCAAAGTGGCGTATGGCTACGTGTCGCCGTCGCCGTACGGGCCCGTGGGCTACGGGCCCGCCGTCGGGGTCGGGCCGGTGCCGAGCGACGTGCCCGGCTACGAGGAGGGCCACCCGGGGGTGCCCCTCACGTCGGCCGTGCCGCCCGGCATCTTCGAGGACGAGGTGCACCTGCAGCGGCTGCAGTCGCGGCATCCGGTGGTGCCCGGCATGGCGAGCCCGCTCGACGACGAGCAGAAGTCGATGCGCTGGCGCGACCCGAACCTGTCCGAGGTGATCGGCTTCCTCAGCAACCCCAACAACATCATCAAGGCGAACGCGGCCGCGTACCTGCAGCACCTCTGCTACATGGACGACCCGAACAAGCAGAAGACGCGCAGCCTCGGCGGCATACCGCCGCTGGTGCAGCTGCTCGACCACGACAATCCGGACGTGTACAGGAACGCGTGCGGCGCCCTGCGGAATCTGTCGTACGGCCGGCAGAACGACGAGAACAAGCGTGCGATCAAGAACGCGGGCGGCGTCCCGTCCCTCATCAACCTGCTGCGACGGACGTCCGACGCGGAGGTCAAGGAGCTGGTCACGGGAGTTCTGTGGAATCTGTCCTCGTGCGAAGTGAGTGATCCCCGAAGTCCCTTCGCCGCGCAGAAAATCGTTAGGAAAATTAGAAAAGGGAGAAGCGCGTCCCCCGTGCTCAAATTCAACTGTTTAAACATCGCGTGTTTCTTAAACTGTCAATATTTTAAGAGTTGATTTTTTAAGTCATTTTATGAGGAAAATTTCATATGAGGTTTATACAATTTTGACCATAAGTTTATATCCTCGATTTATTGCATTTTCTTGGAAACGGCGAGTCAAAACTCTCTCGTAATGAGAGTCAAAAGATTAATAAAGTAAAACTGTTATAAAACTAAATATTATTTTTCAATAAAACTGTTTTAATTTATTTTTTTATCATATATAAAACTTTTCGTCGATTCATAGGTGTCTTTTACTCTCTAAAAGTGAATTATTATCAAGGAATTACAATTGATTTTCAATATATATCATTTTCCAGTGGCATGCTTAGAACTGTAATAAAACAGTGAGTATTTCAATATTCTTTTAGTGATAATATTCTAATTTCAAACAGTGAAAATCGCAGAAAGATAGTGAGTTCCACTGTCAAACAGTTTTGAGAACTGAAATTCAATATCTTTTAGTGATATTCACTGAATGAATCAGTATATTATCGTTGAAAAAACATTGAAATACTGACTGATTATCACAGTTGTGTATGTCACTGGAAAATGATGTACACTGAAAATCAGTGATAATTCCACTGACTCACTTTTAGAGAGTATACTTGTGTAAGACTGTATATGATCACCTCGTTTCAGAGATATAAAGAGAGCGTTAAGAATTCTATAAAATTATCAGTTTTCTTTCCTTCTAACTTCCGACTCTGATTTTCAGGACCTGAAGAGGTCGATCATCGACGACGGCGTGACGATGGTGGTGAGCAACATAATAATACCTCACAGTGGCTGGGACCCGAGCTCGTCGAGCGGCGAGACCTGCTGGTCGACCGTGTTCAGAAACGCGTCCGGCGTCCTGAGGAACGTCTCGAGCGCGGGCGAGTACGCGCGGAAGAATCTGCGCGAGTGCGAGGGCCTGGTGGACGCGCTGCTCTACGTCGTGCGCTCCGCGATCGAGAAGTCCAACATCGGCAACAAGATCGTCGAGAACTGCGTGTGCATCCTGAGGAACCTGAGCTACCGCTGCCAGGAGGTGGAGGACCCCAATTACGACAAACACCCGATCCAGTCCACGGTGCAGAACCGAGTCACCGCGCCCGCGAAAGGTGAGCCCGCGAGAGAGGAAGTACAGTGGGGGGGGGGGGGGGAGGAACTCGTTTGAAGGATTCGATGCGCAACACAGAGCGGCCTACATTTCTTCTAATCTTTTCCGAGAGAAAACTCGAGAAAATTAATCTAACTTTAATTTAAATTTAAGCTACATTTAAATCTGATCTGAGGGATGCAGAAGTGGAATTTTTACATGCACAAACACTCCGGTTTTAATTTGTTATTAAATTCATCTTATTTTTAATTTGATTTATTTCCGGTTTTAACTTGTTATTAAATTCATCTTATTTTTAATTAGATTTATTTTCATTTTCTTAGTTTTTTTTTGTTGTTTTTGTTTTCACAACTAATTAACGTGTAAAAACCCAGGCAAAAAATACCTCGCGCGTTTTAATTTTGCCACAAAGATCTCGGAAATTGAGAGACGCGTTTTTTATATCCCGCAATCAGATTAAGCTTAATTAAATTAAACATAGTTAAACATAATAACAAGTTGACATTAGACATTAGATATGTGAATAATAAAATAAATTAAATTAGAAATAATTTTCACGAGTTTTTTTTTACGAGAAGGAATTGGACCGCTAGGATCCCTCTCGTATCGAGAGCGACGCGTTTGTAAATACATGGACAAACGCGTGCAATCGTGAAATTATTTTATAACAAAAGGAAATTTGCATAGACAAAACCGTGAATGTGCAACGTGTGAACGTAGTACCTAATAGTGTACCTTAACGGGGAAAAATAAATTGAGAAGATAGAGGGATATCTCGAGCGTTGCTTTTGGAACGAGTACATGTTTTCCCAGCAGCATGCACGAGTCTCCCTTCGGTGTGCATGTAGCCGCAGTCAGACCGTGTGTGGGTGGGGAGCGCGTATGTGTGTGGTGTGTTTTTGTGTGTGTATGTATGTATAAAGATTAGGAGGGACAAGTGAGGAGAGGAGGTAAATGATTCACCCCTTAAACCAACCATGAAATTAGATCGGAGGGGACACGATACGCAGCTTCCCTGTTGCAGACTTCCAGCCATTGTGCAAAACTATCGCGCGACGTGGCGGTCTTTAAAAAAAAAAAAAAACCAGTTCCAATTATCTGACGCTAAAAATTCAGACGAGCCACAATCCGTTGAGATCTCTCTCGACCTGGGAGTACGCGCTCATAATTATTTTCTGTCCCGATTTTCGCGTCCGATTCGATTTGCTTTGAAATCTCTATCTCGGTAGCCGAGATAGAGAGTCCTCCAGATTTACCATGTGAAAAACAACCGGGAAAAAAAACCGTCTGAGATGTTTACGCGCGCGGGTCGTTAAAATATTTACGATTACATTTGCTCGAAAATAAGCAACATTGGCACGAGTGAAATTGTACCATTAATTCTACTCCGCTCCGCGTTTCACGGACACGGACGCGCGCGCACGCCCGCCCTGCTGATATTTTACGGGCGCGTAGTCGGTAGTTTGTAGATAGTTAGTTTACGTAGCGTATTAAATTTGATTAAAACTTGCCCGGGGGTCCCGGGGTTTACCCGAAGTGAGGTAGCGCGAGGACGAAATTTGTATCGCTCCGTAAACCGTAAATAACGCACTTAGAAAAGTGGCGATAGCAAAGCGTCGCAATTAAGAGTAGATGGTTTGCCGTAGATAGAGGAAGATAGACAATTGTACAGACTCAACGATCTTTCCGCAAATTAATTCACTCCCAGACTGTCTCCTGATTTCGATTTAATTTGCCTTTTACTGGGTTCTCAAGACGGATGGATGTACGCCAGTGTGTCCAGAAATGTACATAACACGACGACGATCCCGTGTTATCTTCGTATATGCCTCTGTATCTGTATCTTGAGTTTCTTCTCTCTCTCTCTCTCTCTCTCTCTCCGATCTTCTCTCTCTCTCTTTCTCTCTGTTTTAGACAACAATTAATTACACGTATATCCTAGTTGAACACCCTAAAGATTATCCTTTCCTTTCTTTTTTCTCTTGATTTATTTTGGGATTTCGTTGACGAATCATACAGATTTTTTACGAATCCTAGCTCGGCATGGATTAAACTGTGTTTCAATCTTTTTAGCATACAGTTTATGTCAAGGTAAGCCCCCTCTTGCAATTCCATTGGTAAATTAGTTTTCCGTTCGAGGACATAGTTATTGCATGCTCTGCCTTGCCAGATCGTAAGCCGACTACGTTTTACACTTGATTGTGAACTTATATTTTCCCTTATCAAGGTAATTATTTCTTTTTTTTTCTTTTCTTATTTGATGTTGTGTAACAGCTATGTTTCCAAGCGACGATTTTTAGATTTCTGTGTACACTGTCCACTTTTTGTTCAAAATTGCCAAAATTCAGAAGCAAAATTGACCGGCAACGAAATTTAGCTTGCTGCGCATAGCTATGGTATATATATATATAGTTTACAGTTTCGTTTCCAATTTCGTTTATTGCGTAGACAAATAGCTGATTTAATTTAGCAGGTTAGTTAGAAACTTTAGAAGTATGTATATAGAAACACAGGCATCTTATTAGGAACACGAATACGCGAGTCGTAATTTTTTCTCGATATCGCTCAACACTGCTCGATGTTTCACCACTATATTGCTGTCGCGGAATAATAAGGAATCTCACTGGAAAGCGACTCGACAATTGGGCACAAATCAATCTGATCCTGAATCTCGAATAAAAAATTAATGTGACACATCTCTGTTCCTCTTTTTTGGCTTCGTGATATTCCCGATGCAATTCCCGCGCGGGCGGCTCATTAAATATATGGATCCACTGTGATTCTGCCCTAGGTGAGAATCTGGGTTGCTTCGGCGGCAGCAAGAAGAAGAAGGACGGCCAACCGGTCCAGAAGGAGACGACCGCATCACGTACGACGAGTCCGCGGACCGAGCCGGTCAGGGGAATGGAATTGCTCTGGCAACCGGAAGTGGTGCAGTCGTATCTCAGTCTCCTGCAAACGTGCTCGAACCCGGAAACGCTGGAGGCCGCCGCCGGGGCCCTGCAGAATCTCGCGGCCTGCTACTGGCAGCCGAGCATCGAGATCCGCGCGGCCGTGCGCAAGGAGAAAGGTCTCCCTATATTAGTGGAGCTCTTGAGAATGGAGGTAATTATGAGGTGCCAAAAAACGCGTTCAGTCCCAAAGAGAACCTCCACGATTGTAAAATGCATATGTTAAATTGGATTACAAATTAAATGAACGATTTGATGAAGTAAATTGATTAGATTACATTTGAACGGCCTCAGCGGAATTATTATCCAACATTAATCTAATTACTTCGTCACACATTATTTTCTTCATTGCGTCGTATAATGTATTGCTCTAAAAATTGACGCTTAGTCTTCCACGTGTACAACTTTGTGTTTATAAGAATTTCTGACATTTAATTTTTAATTTGAATTAATTAGATTATGTTTGAGCTGCGCTAATCGACGAAATTATTACCCAACATTAATCTAATTACTTCACATTGTTTTTTTTTTTATTAATGTATAAAGTATTGCTCAAACTAACGTTTATATTCTTTCAAATACAATTTCATATCATAAGAATTTCTGATATCTAATTTTGATATTTATCTTTATGCCTTATAGTTTTGAATTTCAATTATATTTGTGAAAGTTCATTAATGGATAATACATATATTGTTAATTTAAATAGCAAATTATTGTAAAATATCTCTAAAAAAATATCTTTTTTTAATTTCTGATATTTATATCTTAAGTTAGAGTTATACATTTAATAAGTATCGACGGGGATAATATTTATAACTTAGCAAAATAAGTAAAATTTAATACCGCCGCCGCGAATAACGTATGTCTGTGCTAGGTGGACCGAGTAGTCTGCGCGGTCGCGACGGCGCTCAGGAACTTGGCGATAGACCAGCGCAATAAGGAGCTAATAGGCAAATACGCGATGAGGGATCTCATCCAGAAGCTGCCGTCTGGAAATAATCAGCACGATCAGGGCACGAGCGACGACACGATCGCCGCGGTGCTCGCGACTCTAAACGAGGTCATCAAGAAGAACGCCGAGTTCTCGCGGTCGTTGCTCGATGCCGGCGGTGTCGACAGACTGATGAACATCACCAGGCAACGCCAGAAATACACGCCGCGCGTTCTCAAATTTGCAGGTAACACTCGCAGGCCTGATTTAGATCGAAATAATTATTCGATAAGACACTGAGGAAGAAAAGTGTTTGGTATTTATAGCTATGTATATAATGGTAAAATAATTATTACATGTATCCTTTATTTTTATAGTTATTACTGCTATCATATTAATAATAATACCAACTATAAATATAATTATATTATATTTATAGTTCTATTAAACCAATACACGTATAGTTGGCATCGAAAATGACAATCCATTATAGTTCAATTATGATAATTGCAACTACTTTTTTCTCTCAGTGTACAGACGCATCTTGAAAATGCGTAGCCGATTTAATTAACCATGCCATTATATTATATAATAATATATATATATATATCTACAAAAAGAGATTACTTTCTATTTACGCATATTATTTTTAGGACAAGTACTGTTCACGATGTGGCAACATCAAGAGTTGCGAGACGTGTACAAGAAGCACGGCTGGAAGGAGCAAGACTTCGTCACGAAAACCGTCGCCGCCAGGAATTCAGGGCCTAATTCACCCAACAACGCTAACAGGTAATTATTCGTCCATAAGCGGGGGGCAATGAATAAAATTAGACGTACACGAGACGGCTGCCGCAATAATTGGATAATTGAGATATCGACATGACAATATAATTATCCAATTTAATTTGATATTTCTAACTAAAAGGTTTTTAAAAATTAAATTATAATTAGAAATAGATAGAACGAGACAGTTTTTAATTAATTTTCGATACTATATGTTAATTAAATTTTTGTAATTTTTAATCAATTTTATTTGTCTGGACTTTTATATATTTCGATATCGAAAATATTTTGTGTAATCATTATGTTATCGTCATTAAATTAAGTTCGCTTTTTTCCGAGTATGAATTTATTTATTTATTTTTTTGGTAGTTTGATTTCTGGGACTCCGCTTATTTTTTGTTTATGGTTTATTCGTTTTGTCGCGTAAATTTTTTTGATTCGCGATATTTACCGTGCGGAGTCCTCGCTCCCCCTTTTCTCCCGGACGACTCGATTCTACGATTAAAATGTAGCTACGATTGCAGCACTCTGAATCGACCGATGGCGAGCCAGGGAAGCACAAGATACGAGGATCGAACGATCCAGCGAGCGAACATGAATTCGAATAATGTCGGTCGACCTACTATATATCAATCAGTAAGTAATAATAACTAACAGCATCACTAAATAATTATACGCCGCGTAGACACACCATTAGGAATGAGAAAAGCGTACTACTCGAAGCGTAGAAACAAAAATCACACGTGCACATTATATAGACAATTCTGCCGGTCGGTCTTACGAGAGAGTTCATTAATATTTAGCAAATAATAGAAAGGCAGTTTTTTGAAGGTATAGCATGGTGTCCAGCGATATTTGGCTAGCCAATGAATTCAAGGATAATTCCAGGACGTTCCAGGTAAAAATCCTGGTTTTTCCAGGTCGATTAATTTTCATTACTTAATTTTTATTGATCTATGCAGTGTTATGTTTTGTATTCAAATTAAGATTCTACATGACGAATCAATTAAGATGCAAACAAATTCAGAACAATGTTATTTATTGCTTTACAAATTGCTTGCCTTATTGCATCTTTAAGAGAGAGCTTATACAACAACAAACTTTTTAAAAAACGACGTTATCGACAATTCTTGCACACGTGTAAGAAATATTTCTTATTTCTTTCTTTTTTTACAATCCGATTTTTTTAGAATAAAAAAATGACAAAAAATCAAGGTCAATTCGGAAACTTCAAGAGTTTTCTAGGAATTTTCCAGGATACATTAAATAATAATTACAGGATTCAAGGACATCCAAGAATCGCTGGACACCTTACATAGCTATAAATAAATTTGACTTTTTAAATGTTCACATTTATACGATATCGCAGAGATTTACACAAATTTTTCTAATATTTCGGATATTTCACTCTACGACGCTGCAGAGATTTACACAAATTTTTCTAATATTTCGGATACTTCATTCTGCGTGTACTTATTGTCGTCCATTTAAAATTCGTTATTACAAAAAAAAATTACTTAACGTAACTTAACATAAGAAGAGTAAATTATGAAAAATCAATTTGATAAACTTCCTTCATAAGACCGACGAAATTTCGTCCTATCTCGATTTATTCGTTGCCATCGATAATTTTTTAATATTTCGCGTCGTTATACAGTTATAGAATTTAAGAACTTATAGTCTTTCGACCTGTGACCTCCTTGAACACTCCAGATGGATCGTACACATCAATAAGTAATTATATTTAACTTTGTAGTTAGAGTGTTTGACTTTACTTAGGCTGGCGAAGTGATTCGGACGCGGGCAGAGGTAGTTACCTTAGGGACGATCCCGCGACCGCGGTAATTTTGGCGCAAGATCGATTGTGCCAAAACGAGCGAACGTCACTCCGTAAATTTCAAATCGAGAGAATACACAGCCATTGTATAATTTGCGTGTGTGATGAACGCCCAACCCCGTACGCCTAATTGAATTAAATTTACGTCAGTGACCGTCTTCCCATGCGGTTCGGATGATCTCGTCTTTCCACATTTTTTTTTCTTTTGCACAAACTTTAACTCCGTTTAGGTAGACGCAGCAGAAAATTGTGTGTGCACATAAAACGGAACGTTTTCCAAATTCGAACGAACGTTTCGAATCAATGTTGAATGTACTTGAATACGCATTCAAGCTGAACGGATAAAATTTAGTCGCCGTATTATATGTAATATAATAACGCGAATCTCTGGTCATACGGGAATCCACACACAAATAAATGTTCACGCGAATTACCGCACTGAGAGAGAGAGAGAGAGAGAGAGCCGGACCAAAAAAAAAAACTTGTCGCCCTTTTAATAACGCCGTGTGTAGAGCCACTTTCTAAACCCCGAGACTTTTTGCACGATTTTCATAACGATTTTTCCAACTCGCTAATTAATTTAAACGATCCCTCGCGCGCGCGCGCGCATAATGTAATCTTATAATTAGAAGCGCATCGCGCGCAAATGTTGCTACTAACCGACTTTAGGTCTAAGCGAAAACACACTCGAGGTATTCGCAAGTATAACACCTCTCTGTCTCCGGAAGAACGCACAAATTTACACGGACAATGAAGAAGCTATAACGGCTGACGTGATCACTGCCTAAAACGAACACCCACACACACACACACATAAACACGCACACCGTCACGTATGGCAATTATTTTCGACTTGTATAGCGTACGACGAGAAAGCGGTTTCGCGCGTAATACCGAATTTGATTGTTATCGAGAAAAAGCGTTTGTATCGAGCTTATAAGCGAGACTTCGGTTTTTTCCTACGCCTGGTTTTTCCCTCCCGCTCGCAGTGTGCCCTGGCTAGTTTAGTTTATATTTCATTAGCGAGGTGTAACACGACGCATTTACAACTAAATTATTACGTAGCCTATATAGTCTGTACTGTATACCCGATTTTGTATATAAGCTTAGGAAATGATTATATTAATCTTGTACACGTAAGTTACAATAACGCCGAGTATATAATTAATGCATATGGGTGTTCGCGCGCACGCCATATACACGAATATGCCGTTATATAAAATTATTATTCCCTTCAGTTATGCCGTTCTACGAGAATTTATTTTAAAGATAATACACCGAATCGAATATACATATAATGAAGCTTAAAGATACGTGGAGAATCACGTCGAATTGTTCAGCTCGCTTGACGATATAAAGTGGAGGCCTTTTTTTTTTTCTTTACAAAAGGAAGACTTCGTTTTTCGTAACGCGAGACAAGTGGGAGAACACTCGTGTGTAGAAACTTATTTCACGTCCTCTTTGTGCACAAGAGAGAAGGGAACCTCTCCTGCATTAGAATTGAATATTATTATACATAATTTTGTAGCACCAACGTACGCCAACGTTATACACAACACACGCGATTTCATGTGCGTCTTTATATCATGTGTATCTCAGCTACGAATTACTCACGTCACCGTCGGAATATTTATATATTCTGTATTTAGTCGAATAACGCAATGTAACAACAAAAAAAAAAGGAACAATTACTTGGAAATATGTATATTAGATAGCCTATATACCTGATTGCAAATAAAGGTCAAACATATCACATTTTCTTCGTGGTTTTGCCTACACGTTGCAGTGTACTCTCGATTATCCGGTAAGGGAGTGAGCGAAGAAAGAAAACGCATGATACAAATCGCATACAGGTTTATACAGGGAACACCAACAGGATTTTTTTTTAATTATTAAAAATTGTTTCTACATATTGAATATAAGAATAACGTAATCATGCAATGTAATGCGTATTTACAGTGATTTTTTCTTGTTTTTATCATTATTGTTCCGTCGGACGATCGAGGGTACAGTGTGCATAAAATCTCACCCCAAAGTGTCTGAGCTTCTTTCAGCGTCCGAAGGGTCGAGGCGCCGCGCGGTTCTCCCCCTCCACCCTCGCCCACCCCCCCTCGCAAGAGAGACGCGCGAGACCACCAGTTGGCTAACCGTTGGCTTGTGTGTGTGTTGCAGCAGCCGAAACCCGGTGAGCCGCTCTACGCGCAAGTTAACTTGGAGAAGAAAAAGAAGCGGCAGTACGAGCTGGGGGTGGGCCAGGGTGGCCAGGTGGGTCAGGTCGGCGTTGGCGCCGCGATACCCGGTGGCGGCGTCGGCGGCGGCATAGCTGGACCAGGCGGTGGCGCCGGCGGCGTGGGCGGCCAGTGGATGCCGGACGGCGTCGGGATGGTGCCGGACGGCACCGGCGCCACGTCGGTGGCGGCGACGGTGGCGAACCAGG